GCTAATGTTCTTATTGGGGAGTAATTGAGATGCTTTTCCTTTTTGTAGCAATTCAGCTCTCTCAGCCAGGCAAAATGGAAAGTGCCTTTCTGATGGGCCAGTAACCACTCTAAGCAAATGCTGTCTGCAGTTGTCATGTTGCATCTGGACCATTGCGTATCCAGGAGTGGAAGCTTCCAAGGACACAGGGAAAGAGTAGTGGTAAGTAAGCTGAGTAGTGGTAAGAGCCACAGTTTAGGAGAAAGGTGTCACTCATATCACTGGTCATGCATTTTATCTAATTACTTTCTAGTTATAAGTGCATAAATATTGTTGGACTCGAGATTATTGTTGGACTCTTTACTCTCGGAGAAGTGTTACTTTACGCAAGTTCCCTCGGATTTATGTCATAGTGTCATTCTTGACATAAAACCAGTACTGGAACTGAAGAACAGCGATTTAACTGGGTGTAGGATTCATCTGTCCTAATGTTAATTGCTTTGAAGTTAGCTTTTCGGTAAGAAAGTGATCTAGGCTCTTAATCAATGGACAGAGAGAGAGGGAGACAAAATGACTCAGCCTATCCTGAAACAGGAGGTGCTGATGAATCACTGAGCAGACAGATCCTGTATCTTAAAGTACTCCTTTGAGTATGGAGGAAATAGGAGAAGACTTGCTTATCCAAAATTTTGAGCTTGTGGACAGCTGAAGTGGCAGGAGGCAAATTACACTCTAGGTCTGCTATGAATCAGTGTTTGGGTTCACTGTGAATCACACTGGGAGTTCCTTAATGTGATTGATTTTGAAGTGCAGATGGGATCTCAAAGGAGGATCCCAGTTCTGAGAACATAAATGTCTGTCCAGTCTTCCTCCTGCATGTGAGAAAATTAAATGATTACATATATACAGGGGCAGTTACATAGCCTGAACAATGTGGTAAGCGGTAACTCTTCTTGCATGTACCAGGAAGTTGCAACTGAAAGTACAGGTGGCTTTCACACATCTGGAGAGCCTTTGGAAATGCTAGCCCTTCATATAAATTCAGTATATATATTTAAGGTGAAGAAAGCCATTATCATAGAATCATAGAATGGTTTGGGTTGGAAAGGACCTTAAGATCATCAAGTTCAAACCCCCCTGCCATGGGCAGGGACACCTCACACTAAACCATATCACCCAAGACTCCGTCCAGCCTGGCCTTGAACACTGACAGGGATGGAGCATTTACCACTTCTCTGGGCAACCTCTTCCAGTGTCTCACCACCCTTACGGTAAAGAACTTCTTCCTTAGATCTAACCTGAACTTCCTGTGTTTTAGTTTGAATATTCCTCTTCTGCAGAAAGGTAGCAGAATTTTAGGAAATGGGACATGCTGTGGCCACAGGGAAAAATCTTCCTGTAGATACGTTCTGTACAGGCAAGGACAGAGCAAGTTATCTGGCAGGTATATTGCATATGTGCCTTGCTCTATGGAAAATTGCAAGTTTAATTGGGTTTTTCTCCTGCCGTTTTTTAACAATACTGAACCTGTCAATATGCAGGGAACTTTGTATATGAAAAATGTCAAAAAAATATTAAGATAAGTGGCATTCCCCGTGAGTTCTTTAATGCTCTGGGCACAGATGGTAAACCTCAAAAGACTATAGCAACAATAGTATGTAAGAAAACAAAGCAAAAATTACCATACTATAGAGTTTATTCATATGCAAATCAGGGATAATTCAATGTCAGTATCCTAATATTTTTCAAGAAAGAAAACACAGAGCTCAAACAATGTTAAACTGCCTGGCCCCAGTGGTGATTGAAATCCTTTCAGTCCCCACTTGTCACCAGCAGCAGTCATAGGTTTCTGTGTGCTATATTGTTTGTCAATGTCAAGGAAACACAATGCACTGACATGAACCTAGGTCCACCAAAACACGTGGAGCTGAAGAGATGAGATTCTCTGTGTATATAGTCTAGCTTTAAGACTCTTACTGCCATACAGGAATCCACAGTGGAGGGCCTGACAGCACCTGTTCTCTGCCCCAAAGGAGTGGATGCCTCATGAGGCATCCACAGTCAGCACTGGAGGGGAAAATTGTCATGAATCACAGTGAGGAGCAACTGGAAATAAACTTCCATCTCACATCCTCATCCTTGCCTGAGCTCATGGACATTCAACCTGTGACTCCAGCCTTCCCTTCAGACAGGCTGGACTAAGTTGTTTGCCCCAGACATTTTCTTCAGAAGTGGAGCAACACTCATGTCCTAGAAGACATAATCAGAGAAAGCAGCAATATCCTCTTTCTCTGTGATCTTTATTGTGTAATTCTGAGTGGGCAGGAGGGGATGCAATTCCATTCCCTTCCTTTCTCCACCTGAAGGAATTCAAACCACCTCCCACCAGCTAGCTGAGTGTCCCAGACAACAAGAATAAATGCTCTGGCACATGTGAAAGGGAAGAGAAGGAAGAGGGGCAGATGGAAAAAAAGGCTGATATTTATGTCTCTTTTAAAGGTTGCCTAAAATTGAATGTGTCTTACTTAATCATTAAGGTGTTTCTGTAGAGCAGGGGTCCTGGGAAAGAGCAGAACATCTTGTCCACCACTGGAATGTCCAGTCTGGGGCCAGCCAGGGGTATTATTTTTGCACAGAAGGCAGAGTTCCTTCCCACTGTAGTTTCATCTGCCCAAATTAACTGGAAACTTGTGAAACACATCTGCTTCACAGCTAGAGACTGCCAGAGCTAAACCTCTTCTTTGACAATCCTCATTTTTGTGGCACACATTACTTGGAGATACATGCTGTTTAGGTTTCTTACATATCCTTTCTCCACCTTTTTTTTCAGAGAATCTCTGCTGAAGCTTTTGGCTGTTTGGCCATTCAGGGTGCTGTCTTTGATATCTGTTTATTCCTGGTACCACATGATGTCACATAATCAGACTGCAGCGGTGTCACTGAACAAACCCTTTCTTTCAAGCAGCAAATATGTCATGCCACTGGACCTGAATAAAGGTATACTCTATTTTGTAGCATCCATATTTCCAATGTCTTTTCTGGGCAGCTAATCCCAATAAGGTAAGTTCCAACCATGACAGGAGTCATGGAAATAGCCCCAGATAATTTATTTTTTCTGAAGCACTATCACCCTTAAAAACAAAGGTAAAATTTTGTGAGTCTAATGCTGAACTAAAGGCAGAGGTGCTAGAGACAAAAGCAAGGGGCTCGGGAATTGTTTTCAAATTCTTTCATCTGTCAAAAAAGTGACTCTTCCTTTACACTTTAATCTTTGTATTTTTAACTGATGAATATGAAATTTTTCTTATTTAACATTTAAATAGCTGCTATGGATCTCTTGATGACTGTGGCTTATCCACAGAGCAGGGCATAGCAGTATGATAGATACTATGAGCAACCTACCACAAGTGTGTGTTTTGCACCAGAGAGCTGTTAACTGATGTTGAAGAAATAACTCCATGATCTCATCACACATTCCACACAGGAATGTCTGTTGTGAGTTAGCTGCAGAGCACCTGTGTGCTTGGGAAGCTCTATCGTTCACAAAATGCTCTGCATTGGGTAAAAACATACAGTAGAAATGGATATATAGATATGATATAAATTTTATATGAAATTCACTTCTGTGTAGCAGCCTAATGAAAAGTCTAAACAGCACTTCTTGTCTGATTCTGAGAACTTGGGCTTTGAGTTTGCTATGTGTTTGCAATTTTAAGTTTAGCTAAGTAATACAGCTGCTGCATGCAATATGACGGTAATGCTAAAAAGCCAAGAATTTTCTTCTGCTGATATCCCTCACTGTCTGACTGTATGTTTATACTCATGTGGTTCAGTCATCTCACTGATTTACTTACCAGTGCTTTTTGTTTTGTAGGCAACATCGATTAAATTTGTAATTTTACTTCCTTCTCCATCTTCTGCTGTTCCCAGATGATGGAGGCTGCATTTGGCAGGTGCTGACAGCATGTGTGCATCCTATTTCAAATGTCCCTGCCTAAATGTAACCACACTTCAGTTTAAGAGGGAACTTTTAGAAATACTTGGTTGACTTGCTCTTTCTTTATATGTGACTCATGAAACAGGATGCTAATTAATGGATTTTTTTTTCCTTATTATTGCACTGCTTTCCTGTGTATTTTTGTTCACTTGCTCTCTCATATATCAGCTGTAAGACAGGGACTATTAATTTCTCTAGTGCACAACTTGAGATATTTATCTGTGACTGTATTTTTGTAACCCTCAAAATAAGAAGTATAATTAATAGTTTTCCTGGTTTTTAATGTTGAGTTATTCCATCAGATCTCTGTGTGAAAAGTTGCTTCAAAGGGAAGCTACTGGATATAAACACAGAAAATTGTCAACTTGTGAAACAGTTTGACTCCTGAAGAGAATGTTTCTTTTTAAAAATGCAGCCTTTTGTAGTAGTTTTTGATCTTATGTTGAAGATTTTAAGTTGTCTTTCAGGCCTGGGTTCTGCATGCTATGGTGTTGAATTAATTGTGAGCTTTATGGGATTCTTTTCTTGAAAGATCATTCAGTTCCATTTTCTCCTTAGAAAAATGTTATGTGAGGCATCTGTGAACCCACGAGAGAAAATGAAAGCTTACAGTTAATAAAATGCATTTACCTGCATATAAACTGTGACTGGCTGGATTGAACTTCCCCGAGCACTGCTGTTATTATATACCATACATCTTCCACAGACATACAAGACTTAAGGTGAGTGGGGAACAAAATGTTTTGTATAAATGCTAGTATTGAAGACTCCTTCATCTTCTGAAGCTGTTGTGCCTGAAGAAGCGTCAAATAGGATGAGAAAATTTACTAAAAGAACTATTGCTTGTCTTCACACTCAGCTGCTTCTCCCAGATCAACACTTTCAGCTGCAAAGGATTTCTCTGAATAGATATACAATATCTGTGGTCCAGCCCACAGAGGTTTTACAGCAGAGAGAAGTAGAGGAAGAAAGGGAGGAAGAAAATAAAAATGGAAAACCTTGAGTGTCCTCATGTGCTGAGAAGGCTGAAAGAAGAAATATTCTCTCCACTGCACTTCAGGACTGTCATATGCTGTGACGCATTTCCCCTTCCGGCAGCTCCTACACAAGGTACTTTGAAACAAGCACTTGACTTATGGCTTTACTTCTGTTTTGTAGCTCAGGCCATATGAAGAACTTGTGGAATCATAGAATCGACTGGGTTGGAAAAGACCTTTAAGATCATCAAGTCCAACCATTACCTCAGTGACAATGCTGAAAGTCCTCAGCTGAAGAACACTGGCAAGACTTGATAGTATCAGATAAGAGTCGTGGGTGTCCTGGCAGTGGGCTTGCATTAGCTCTAATGATGTACTTGGGATGTGGCAGTCAATTTTGTTATATTTGTCTTTTTGGAGCCAAACAAAACTTTTTCTGTAGTATTCTATGTCTCATAAGAGAGGGGGATATCAGTTTTTGGAAGAAGGGAAAAGACAAAGCAAAGTGGTGACAGTTGAAAATACTGTTACAGCATAAATATAATAAGCTACTTGGGTAGCCATTTTGTATTAAAAAATAAGCGAAGCCCAGATGACAGTGTTCATAGCATCATGGAACAATTCGGGGTTGAAGGGACCTTAAATATCATATAGTTCCAATCCCCCTTTGCCATGGACAGTGACACTTCCACTAGACCAGGTTGCTCAAAGCCAAGGTTGTTCAATCTGGCCTTGAACACTTCCAGGCATGGGGCATGCAGAACTTCTCTGGGCAACCTGTTCCAGTGCCACACCATAAAGAATTTCTTCCTAATATCTAATCTAAATCTACCCTCCTTCAGTTTAAAGCCATTCCCCCTTGTCCTGTCACTACATGCCCTTGTAGAAAGTCCCTCTCCAGATTTCTTCTAGGCCCCCTTTAGGTACCGGAACCTGCTTTAAGATGTCCCCTGAACCTTCTCTTCTTCAAGCTGAACAAACGAACTCTCTCAGCCTGTCTTCATAGCAGAGGTGCTCTAGTGTTGACTTGTGATTTTAGCAATGACTACTAAAACTGACGTTTTCCATGAAAGGCAACGAGCTTCTCCTGTTTTTCAGCTGAGGCGCATTTTAAAGTGCTCAAGCTGCTCCTCAGGTATGTTAAGGACAGCTGGTGGCAGCGCTTCCTTTTACTAAAAGCAGGGTGTTCCAGTGCTCCTTTGTCTTAGAAATTAACTATCTGCTTATGTACATGCATCCTTTTTAATTCCTCAAGCCATCTTCAGACTTGATGCACCTCAACATTTTTGTCCAAATAGATTCCCAGAAAATCATCTCTTGATAGTTTACTAACAACTGAAATACATTAAATGTCCTCCTACAATGACTTTTAAATTCTCACCGTTTGCATGCCTAATTCTCTACCTTTTTATCTTTTAATCAGTTTCGAATGCCAGGATAAAAGTTTGACATTTGACCCATAGTTAATTAGTTTCCTTAATAGCCATAAAAATAACTTAGTGAAAATAAAAATAATTTACAACTTACCAGCCTACTTTACCTATTAGTCTGCTGACAAGAATTCTAATATGTAGAGAGACAACTTTCTCATACAAAATCTCTTTGTCTCTATTACCTTCCCTCTAAAACACACAAATAGCAGGAGCCAGTCCTTCAGCATCACTTAACTAATTAATTTGAAGCTGTGCTAATTTACATCAGTTGATGACTTGACCAGAAGCATACAAGTCTAAGAACCTCATCAAAAAATCCCTTCTCTTGCAATTAGACCTTAATTGCATACGTAGTTCCAGTAGTAATAGTAGTGAGTTAGGCAAAGTGAGCACTTCAACTTGTGTCCCAGTGATGCCAAGTGCATGCTCTCTTTCTGGATAAGTTTGCTGACATTCACTTTGATGTCATATTTCTGTCTGGTGGTTTTCCTGGGAGCTGCCCGAGAAGCATGCAGGCATGCACTAACTATTGGTGACCAGACTCTACTTGCTTTTGAGATAGCTTTTCTCTGTAATAATGGAGAAAATCTGCAGGGCTTTAGCTCAAGCCAAACCTGTAAGCAACATGTTGGTTGTTGGGTTGTAAGAGTGATATGTGTTAATATATGTGTGTCTGTACATGAGGGTTTTTTTTCACTGCTATTGTCAGATACTTGGGTGTGAGTAGAGCAGTAGTTTTGAGTTGTTAATACCTGGGTAGTGGCCCAGGTGGTTATGTAGCTTGATGATCGTGTGCCTGAGGCAGGGAGCCTAGGAGCAGTCAGGCAGCTTCAAATCAACTCATTCCCACATGGACTTCTTGTGGGGTGACCCTAATTAAAAATGCTTTATATTATGCAACAGTATATAAAATAAAATATCAATGTAAGCCTTAGAGTCAGAAGCTTCTCAATAGATACTCGTAAATATGTCTGAGAAGCTCACCACCATATTTTTTTAAAAGGCCTGGGTAAGACTGCCATTATGTCTAGACATAATGCTACTAGAAAATATTTACTTCGAAGTAACAAGAAGCAAATACTGATGACAAATATTTGGGGGTACTGAATTGCAAATAGAAATAAGTGTCAGCTTCATCATTAAAGCAATATCCAATGTTGATACCTTGTGAAAGGTATCATTGGAGAAGGTAATGTTGTATTTCCTTTCTGCAAGTGAGCACTGAAATGGTGGTGTTAATTTCAGCCAGGGTATTTTGTGTGGTTTTAGAAGGATGGTTTAGTGCTTTCATTCCTTTCTACTTGTTTGTTGTACAAATGGCAGCCTAAATACTTTCATAACTACAGATAAGCAGAGGACATATTCCCTGGGATCTCTCAGACAGGAAAAATCACAGCGTGTGGCAGTATAAATATTGTACTGAACATTTGCTGTGTCTTCAGAGACCTCTGATAAACTCAAGATCAGAAACATAAACCTTCCTTATTTAAGACTGTGCCTAAATAATAGAGCCTGGCCTTCTAATTTAAATACAATTTATTTTGGAGGGGAGTGACTAATTTACAGAAGAGTAAAAGCGTTAGCTGTCTTGAATTTATTCTTTGTGATTTTATCTTTCATCATTGAGGTTTTAGATCTTCTGAGGTGGAGTATTTCCTACACTTATGTACAGGATGCTGCAAAACATGAGACAGTATAACTGATCATGTGTGGACAAATGAGCTGCCTGTTTTCATTACTAATTATAAAAAAAAAAAAAAGTCTATTTAAGCATGAGACACAGAAATAGGCAGCTTGATCAAGTGCACATGTACCGGAAAAGTTCATATGAATATGAGTATTTTTCTAAGGGTAGGGGAAGTCCAAAAATGAAGAGATGTGAGCTAGAGTAACTGATTTTAAATGAAGATACCAATATTTCAACCTCAACAGAAGGGATTTACAGCAAGCACAGTGAAAGTGGAGAATTAATCTTAAAATTAATTATTTCCATTAATTGAGGTAGCTGTCCTAATGTAAAATCTTCCTTTACAGGATGTGTGTCTGAAGCACTCTCTCAGTATGAAGTGATAACAGAAGAGGGTTTAGAGAAGTCAGTGGAAAGAGAAGAATCAAACTGATGACATCAGGCAACATGATCCAAGTATGTACCACTGAATTCAGGGCAGAGTTAGCTCAACAATTAATTGTAGCTTCCAACCTATTGTTTAAAATATGTGTTTTTCTTTTTTTTTTTAATTTAATTTTATTTTATTTTTATTTTGAATGGTTGGGAAGTGGCAAATGAAACACCAGTCTTTTTTTCAAAGGGTTGCAGAGAAACTATGGAACAGTACCTCTGACTTTTGTGCTGGACAATTCAGTAGAAGCTGTAACAAATGATGGAAAAGAGTAAGCAGGTGAAATACAACACAAGGGAGAAGAGTCAAGGCAGATTTCGTAGACTGAAGTCACAAATCTCTTCTAGCTCTTTGAAGCATATGTGAATAATAGTGATGCAATTAATAAATTTACAAAAAGCTTTCAACAATAGTTTTTACAAAAGGCTCTTGATGAGATTAGGATGTCACAGATTCATAACTGCTTAAATGAAAGAAGCCACAGGGTAGGAGTAAATGATGGCTGTCTCACAATAGAGAGGAGTGTCCACAGCTCCAGATTCTGTGCTGTTTAGTGTATTCATAAATGATCTGAGAAGGGGGGTGAATGATGTGGTCACAACTGCTGCTTGATGAGACAAATTTCAGAACAGCTAAAACTCAGATCGACTGCAAAGAGCATTAGAAGGATTACTTGATATTAATTGACTGTAAAATAAAAAATGGCAAATGAAATCTGAGGCCCATATACTTTATGGAATGCACCTGGGAAAAACAACACCAAATATATGTACAAACTGCTAATTTTCTTACTAGCTATAACAAATTGAAGTTGTTATACAGAATTTTCTGAAAAGAAAAAAAGAATTGTTATAATGAACAATGAAAATTGAAAGGCAAATGTAATGTTAGAAGTTGTAAGGAAAGGAATGAGGATAAAAATATCATTTTGTCATGGTTACTTATATGGGGTGTTGAATAGGGAGCTCATTTGTGATCCCTTTATCTCAAAAAGGTATACTGGAATTAGAAAAGGTACAGAGAAGGACAATAACGTTAACCAGAAATCTGAAATGGCTTCTGCACAGGGAGAGATTAAATGAGTTATGGCTTTTAGCCTGGAAAAGAGACTACTGAGATGTTTGTGGTGCAGTTCATTTGGGGATGACTATTCTCTGTCTCACAGCCTGTGCAGTGTGGGCAGCGTAATGGTGCTATTAGACATCTGGCTTAAAGTCAAGAGAAAGTACTTTTTCACACAGCCTGTGATGCAGCTCAGGAACTCATTGCCATATGATGTATCGGATGTAAAAGTAGAAATACATTGAGGAAACTGGATGGGTTTGGAGCAGAAAGGCCATAACTGTCCCCTGGAATGGAGCAGCTTCAAACACCTGCTTGCTGGGAAGATGAGCTGTGGTCAACAGGGCTCTCTGTGTGCATCTGCTGATAGCCATTGCCAGAGACTGGCTACAGGAACAAATGGACCTTTAGTCTGACTGAAGTGTCTTAAAATATTTATGTTTATATCCATTCTGTTGGTTGTATGGAATTAACCCTGTTCTTTGCCGTTGACTGGGTGACCAAAGGCTGGCCTGTGCCAGAGGACTCAGGTGCTTGCTGTGACTCAGACCTTTTGCCAGTGGAAGGCTGTGGCTCTGTCAAGCTGTACACTAGCCCTGCTTTCAGGCTTCAGTAGTGTTTTTGTCACTGTCTTAGACTTTCTTTTTGCCTCCCAAGCCTTGATTTTCCAAAGAGTTGGGTTTTAACTCTGTTCTTTGTAAGTAGAGGGTGGTGCTTGGAGGAAGCACATAAGCACAATTCCACCACATCTGAATGTTAGTCTTATAGCAGGAAGTCTTCTTGTGTTACTACCCAGCATGCAGTAAGCAGTACAAGCTCTGCAGTAGGATCTTTCTCTGCCTGCTTCGCATGGTAGAAGGAAAGGTGTCCACTAATAAAGCAGGTGATTCATTATGGTATGAACCAGACTGAGTATGACTCCTTCGTAAATAACTTCTGGCTATGTTTACTAGCAGACAGGTGGAAGCTCCTTATTTCTATGCATTAATGACACATGCTTATCAAAGAATGATAATGCAATGGACAAACAAATGGCATTTCCAGTATTAATATGTGAATTACATGCTAAGAAGAAATGATCAAGGACTCCTGAAATACAGCAGTGAGCACTAATTTAATCCCTTGCCTGTCAATATGCCCTGTGTAGATAGCTCTCCTAAAAGAACATTTGTTTGAACAGCCTTTGGGTGCTCATTGCCTAGAAATGTTTGTATGTTAGTCCTGGCTTGGGAAGAGTGGGTAGAATACTAAGGCAGATTTCCTTGTGAGAAGATATGCAAATAATTACCTTTTGCAAACACATCCAGCCCTATCTTGGAAACTTAATGTGCAGCTGTGTTTTGTTCCTGGTATTTTTTCCTGGAAATGTGTTCCAAGACTTTGGTCTCCAGATAGCTGGAAATCTCATTTCTTACTGACCGTTTTCTTCATATCCACACTGTTTGTGAGCTTGGAAAGTTCTTTTGGGTTTTCTCCCTGAAGTGTTTGTAGCACAATTTTGCCCTGTCTCAAGATGTGGCATCTTTGCTTTTTTAAAGCTGAATAAGTAATTTTGTAATAGTGTCCCCTTAGAAGATGCCTCTCCATTTCTTCACTTCTAACCAGTATCCCCTGAACATGTGCCAGTCTGAGTTTCTCTTTCTTTAACATATCTCTTAGGAGATGTAAGTGTTGTGTGAGCTGAGGCCTTCCCTATCAGAGCCACCAATGCTACTCCTCTGCTTTCTGTAGGTAAGATAAAGATGACTATGGAGAGTGGGGAGATTATGGACACTTGTACAATATATCTTTCCAGATCAGGCATCTCCAAGTGAAAAGATCCTGGTGGAATAGAAAAAAACCATTCAAAATAAGCTACATGAGGAATAGCTGGAGTGGTATCCGAGGAATACCAGAGACTTGGGTAGAACCCTTGCACCTGACAAAAGGACTTTTGCAAGCCCAGCCCCTGGCCACCCAGCATAGTGCTCTTCTGTGTGACTCATGGCTGGATGTGTGCAATATTTAGGATTCCTTTTCCTTACTGGAGCTATGCAGAAGGATTATAATGAGGAAGAATCCCATTCACATAGTCTTTTAGCAGCTGCTTTCTGTTGACTGAAGGAGTGAATTGCAAATTATTTCCTAACTTCAGTTTTCCTTTGCTTATTTATTTGAATTTACTAAGAAGAGCTGATAGATACTGGAGAAAGTAGTGTCTGGTGGATAAGACTCAGTAGGAATCTCCCCTACCCAGAGAGGGAAATTTGTACTGAAGTCCCTTTGGAATTGGCTTGATCGAAGATTTAGATGATACTGTCTTGTATCTAGCACTGCAAGAAGTATCAGTTTTGGAGAAAGGATTCCTACATGCAGGTAGGAATAGCAGTTAACCCCTGGCAATGGCAAGAAGCAATTCTGACATGCAAGGCACCTTAAATGCTATGACAACCTTCACTTTCTGGAAATGTGAGGTACTATTTGTTCTACTGTGCAGCAGGCATGGTGGTGCGGTGTAGTAATAGCTGGTCAGAGGAGTAGATATTTTCACTTTTAAAACTGTCTAAAATTTAGTCAACAAACTCATTTCTGCTTAATGCTCTTACGTTTACTCTCTTAAGTTTTAAAAGAAGGCCTTTAGACTGAGGCACAAATAATTTCCTTTGAAGTCCCACTTCTGAGTGCGATTCAATTCCAGTGAGATGCTGAAGAGGGCTGGGGAGGGTGTTTTATTCATTGAGAAGCTAAAGGGAGACTTGAGGTGATCTCTCTGCTTCTGATGAAATTCATTGCTTTATCTGTAAGCTCTTAAATCATTCCTGGCAGAGGTAACATTATAAAAATAATTCTGAAGAACAAAAGTTCTTGCCCTTGGAGTACACTGCATTGCACCAAATAGTAGGCATTTATTATGGTTTTCTTTTTCTTAGGGAGGCTACATAAAAACTTTAGTTTCCTTCATAGCTTTGAGAACTGCATGGAAACTTTAGTATCCTTTAGGTTTCTTTATCAGTTTTTGCAAGTGGGTAGGTCTCTTTTTTTCCTCTTTGAATACTTTGTGAAATAAGCTACACAAAGGATAGCCAGAGTGGTGACTGGTGAACCCCAGGGACTTGCTTGTGGCACTTTGGGTTCATCCCTCTTCCGCTTTAAGAACGTTTGGTGAACCTAGCCCTGGCTTGCCATTCACCACCCCTGTGGCAATATGTGCTCAAGGGGAGCACTGCACAGCTCTTCCCATGTACTTGGTTGCAGCAGATGGTGGCACAGACTTAGTTGTACATGAGTGTTTAAATGGGGATAAAATAAATCCTTTTCCTATGGCTTACTCCTTTGGCAGGCAGATGAACTCTGGGGACATAGACTTTACTGCAAGATAATACAAAGGGAATTTTGTGGGGGTCTGTGTGACTCCGTAACACCCTCAGATTCCCAAATGAAAGTCTAACACCCTCAAATTCCCATCTAGCAACAGAGAATCTGTGGAGCTGGCTTTCTTACTAAGCGACCAGGAGATGGTTCTTCCTCCTTCTGATGGTTTAAAGAGGTATAAGCTGGCACAGTCTCTAAGAATAGATGAATCTGTTCTTAGGATAGTTTACTGGGGGAATTTTTGACAGTAAAGAAAATACTTCAGCTGTGCTGAAGCTGAGTTATGGACATGGAATATATGGAAAGCCTGCTACTTACAAGGTCATCTGTCCCTTTCTGTAGCTTGTTAAAAAAGCTCCCCAAACTCAAGGAGTTAGCAAATAAAGGATGAAGGTCCTTTATGAAGCAAATAATGGTGAACCTATTCAGCTATATTCAGTGGGACCTAATTCAATCTGAATCAAGTTACAAATCTAGATGCACATATAATGTAATTTTGAAGTAACTTCTGTTGGTCATAGTGAGTTTTCAGGACATATTTTGGAGTATCGCTTGGTTCATGTCATTCTGGAGGCATGTCAAGTCTGGTTTAAGAAGCTTGTATAAGTTCTGGTTAGGAGGTTTTCTACTATATTGGTCCAAGGTGCCAGCTGAGGTTTTAGCCAGGAGATTTGGTGGCGAACACACTGCATGGTCCAAGAGGCAAGCAGACAACTAGAAAAAAAGCAGATGGAAAGAGGTGAGCTTTGACCTTTCTCTAAGCAGCTTTTGCAAGCTTCTTCCCAGACTTTAACTCCCTAATGTCTGATTTCTATAGCTTTAAAATATATATATTAAAATATCAACTTTGTGCAGCTGTTCCAGTTTTTATTTATCTTTGATTATATCGCAATGATTCCTGCCATGGACTTTTGATACTGTTTCCCAGAATTCCACAAATGGCTTGAAACAGGAGCTAAGAATGAGTGTCTCAGCCACAGTGTCTACTACTGTCCTCTGAGCAGCAGCTTAATCTATGTGACAGGTGAAGTCTTCTAATAAAAAAGCCATTGTACTGCATACACCTGATTTGTTAGCCTGACTTGCAGAAGGTAATGAGTAATCCTCACCTTCAGATCAGTTCTGAGGCATAGTAAGATGTCTGGAGGCTTTCTAGCAGCAAAGGTTTTAGTATAATATACTAATTTATAGTATAGCAGTCTGTTTAGAATAACTCAGCTTGACACATTGTTTGTCTCTGACCTGTATATTCTCTCATATGGACTGTGATAACAGTGACTTTTGAGGATGCTCCTTGTTACCTGATAAAGGATTAATAGCATTATTTGGGAATCTGAAGGGCAGCACAGAACAGAGGTATTTCCTCGAGGAGACAACTTCCTGATGTTTGGACAGTGTGAAGCTCACTAGTGGTTTTTTTTTTTTCCAGGCATCAGGGAATTCAGCTTTGTTGAGGAAACTTAAATATAGTATCAAACCACTGCATCACTTTTGCTTCCCTCTGGTTGTTGTTATGTGGCTGAGAGTCCTATGGGTGGGCAAAGTCTACGGGTGCCAGGATGCCTTTGGAAGCATTGAACAGGAAGGCTGCTCTAACATGTGTGGGGTTGTGAGCAGGCAGTTCCAAAGGCTTTTAAAATCTCTGTTGTAACCCCCAGACTGTACTTTTTTTTCAGTTCCATGCCGCTGCTTTTATTAAATAATCTGCCACGAGTGTAACATTCATCTGGATGTGAAACCTTTAAGGGGCTTTCAGGTGGGGAGGGAAAGCGATACTGTGTTCAAAGATGGAGTCTGTCAAGGAGCCACCTGCAGTCTTAATGGCCATGCTGCTGTCCTTTATGTTCATGGCCAAAGCATGCATCTCAACTGATGTTAATCAGCACTGGAGAAAAGTCACCGACAACCTCTTAAAGAAGCACTGAATTTGGGCATCCAAATGGAGAAGTTTGTAGTCTTGACTGCAATAGGCTCTATGTAGGGAGCAGCCTATGGAGCAGTGTATTGTACTCATGAGTGAACCATGAGCTTGCTGTGTGATCAATAAAGCTGGTCTCATACACCAGCGGCTTTACTGGAGTCACCTGTATAGACGTGACTAGAATCCATCCATAATATGTATCTGCTCATGCAAACTTGCCAGGATACAAAAAGATTTATGTGGCAAACATGATAAGGAGGTGGCATTTCATTATTTCTTAGGTTTAATTTTCCCACTAGTGTTACTGTTGAAGTACTCAAGCCAGATAATCAAACTGAGATCCTGGTCTGTGTTTCAGCACAGTGGCCTTGATGAAGTCATGGTGGCAAAGCTCTAACTGATTTCAAAGAGGGCTGTCTGTCATCCAGAGCGATAAACCCCCCCGTCCCTAGCACTAAAACCATTTTTGACTTAGCTTGTCATGCTTTACCTACCACTTTATTGGTAAACATCTTTCATATTGTAAGCAATTCTACAACGTATATAGAGGTAGTAAAACAAGCAGTGATTCTGTAACTCTTAAAATTCACTTAGAATGATGACACATTTCATTTTACCTTGTCTGACTTCCAAGGGAAAAAAGTATTAAAAGTTTTGTGTTTGAACATTTTCCTTAAAGAGAGTTCTGCCGTGTGTAGTATCTTATTTGATCTGGCTAAGTGTATTTCATCTCTCAAGTAATGTAATTACATGTATTTAATAGAAGTAATTCTTATCCCTTACAACCAAAATATTCTTTCCATCAGATAGATACAAAAAATACTTAAAAGAATTTTGGTGTTTGCTTTCAATTTTTAAGATTTTAAAATATAAATAAGTGTCACTCATTTTGTGTTTGGAAACTGGGCTGTAGGAAGCTTCATGTAATTTTTGAGAATGGAGAAGGTATGTGTGGAGGTGTGTGTATATACTTATATTAATATATATGTATGCACACTTGCCTGGGAGCATTTGACATGCATATAAGTGTGTATTCATAGACACCCCCACAGATAGCAGTGCAGAACTTCATTTGCAGGATTAGTGCCATCTGACTAGCACCTTATGCTGCCCCAGCACCAGAGGAGGACAGGGTCTTGTAAAAAATATAGCAAATAGGTTTAAAGAGGAAGGAGGGAGGAAGAAAGAAAGTGTCCTGGGTTTAGCAATAGAGTCAGTTTTTCTCCTCCTTGGTAGCTGGTGCAGCGTTGTGTTTTGACTTTCAGCCTGGGAAAAGAGCTGATGACACTGATGTTTTTAGTTGTTGCTAAGTAATGTTTACCCTGAACAAGGACTTTGTGAGTCTCATGCTCTGTCAGGGAGGAGGGGAAGCCGGGAGGAAGCAGAGACAGGACACCTGACCCAAACTGACCAAAGAGGTATTCCATACCACAGCACATCATGCCCGGGATGTAACTGAGAGTTACCCAGAAGGGCTAGAGGACTGCGAGGTTGGATTAGGTATCAGTTGGTGCTTGGTTGGGCTGGGGGGGTGAGTTGTCGGTCGGCAGGTGATGAGGTGTTGTATTCTCTTCCCTTGTTACCTCCTTTATCATTATTATTATTGGTGGCAGCAGTAGTGATTTGTGTTATACCTTAGTTACTAAACTGTTCTCTTCTCAACCCGTGGGAGTTACATTCTTTCTGATTCTCCTTCCCATCCCTCCGGGAGCAGGGGGAAGGCAAAAAGGGGGGGGGGGGGGGGGGGGGAGTGAGTGAACGAGCTGGCTGGCTGGGTTTAAACCGCGACAGGAAGGAAGGTGAAGATGATATAAATTATCTGTGGGCCCGGCATGGTGGTTCTGAATCATTAGAAAACACCTTTAATAAGTAATGTGGGTTGTCACTGACTGCTGTTAACATGTAAACATCATTATTTGGCTGATCGATATCGCAGCAGAAGCAGGTCTTGAGAGATCTGAAAGAGAAGATTCCCATCAGATCTTTTTCAAAGGGTACATTTTCTCCTTTAAATCAGTTGGAGTTTCCTGAGCTGAATCATGAATAGCAACCTTTTCTGATGAAGTTCAGAGCCCCACAGCACCGGGAGCAGGATGAAAGCAAAGCTTGAGAGACTTGCCATACACTCAACCGCACAAGGGCTCACCCTGAAGTTGTCTCATGTTTTCTGGAGGACTGTTGTGTGTAAATGAGACATGGCTGTGCGATATAAATTCCCTGCTCAGCATGTCCTGGGAATGTTTTTAAGGATTATGTGGGGCAGGCTGTGGTCAGAATGACCTGAGGAGGTCTGTGCTGCCAGTCCTGGCAAGCAGAGAACTGAGGGAGGTGCAAGCCTTGCGAATCGAACAAGCTTCAATCAAATACTTTAAAGGGGGTAAAACTGTATTGCTAAGCCTGATGGCTCTGTTGAAAACTCTTTCCGAGTGTGCACATGCTGCACAGAACCAAATGACACTTCTTACTGGATTATATCTCAAGAAGAATAGTTAATTTAGTTCAGTATTCAAATTGCTGTTTAAGCCTTGAATTTAAGGTTAAGATGGTAAATTTCAGTTAGATATGGATGGAACAGGTAAGAGTGGATTTGTTTGTTTGTTTAAATAGAGTTTGTGGTTTTATCTCATTTACAAGATCTCACCTGTACAGATTTAGGGATTAGAGTCTCAGAAATAGGTATCTCTAGCTTCTGCTGAGTCTAGTTCAAGGCAGGTACCTACATTGAGGTACACTGAGGACACAGGTATAAGTACCGCATTCATTCTTCTCTAGACAAAGACAGGAGATCCACTTGGGCTAGCATCTAGCCTTTTATACCTTCACCTATGTCTGATTCAGGCTGCTGAAGGAAGCATTTATGGACACCTTTTTTATCACTGCAGCAATCACACAGTGAAAGTGGGGCTTTTTCTTACACTCTTCCTCCATGAAGGCTGAATCCAACATTTCTGTCTGAGTGGAAATGGGACTTCTATGTTTGGACGTGGTTTACCATGACTCACTGCAGAAGAGAATTACTCATCTGCTGCAAAACATCAGTGAGGCCGTTCTAGATTCAACCTGCTAAAAACTGAACGTGATACAGTATTGGTTGCTAGTTTGGCCGATGTCTAACTGATCTAAATGTTATTAGAACACCCAGTTTGATGAGATTGAGTTTAGAGAGATAATAAGATTATTGAAAAGATATTGAAATATCATATTTATATCCTGTATGGAAAGTCCATTATCAGAAATGAATGTTCAGTTCATAAAAACTGTTACTTTCTTTACTCTTAATAGTTTATTGGTAAATGAAGCAGGCAGCTCTCTGTCTTCTCTTGTATGGAATAGCTCAAAGAAAGAAAGATATTACTTAAACGGCAAATGCCATTGCCTCTTTTGTTGGTTTTTTTTTTTTTAGCTTAGTGACCTTCAGAAGTTTTCTGAGGATCACTCAGATAAAAACTGTACCAAAAGATGAGTCACAGAAGAGCTTGGGGACAAGCAGCACCTGTTGTGCCTGCAACTCCTTTCTTTGCTCTCAGTAAATGTGATTCAGACCATTTCTGGGGTGGATGCGGTAGTTTTGCTTTCAGGCTACTGGAAAGCAGACTCCTGCTGTTTTTTCCAAGGAACTGGTTTTCTCATGGCAGTGGGTTTTATTTTCATTAGGTGTAGGGTTTTTCTTCTTTTCTAGCTCTCAGGTGTGGAGTAAGAGGTTCCTTGCTGTTTTCTGGCTTCCCATCTCAGTATCCTCCTATGGCACACCGTGACATGGCAACTAAGCAACTCTTCTGCCCTGCCTCCACAGGCATGCTATTTCAGCTCTGTAATTTTTAGCTAAGTGGATGATTTTCCTCCTTCACTTCTTTCTCTGACATGTAAGTAATTCCCCATCCCACCAAATAAATCAAAAGCAGCATGAGTTGGAAGATGTCAGGTGCGAATGACAAGAAAAACAAATAAATAACCCCTAAACCCCCTCCCAGATCTCAGATTTTGAGCTTAGTCCTGTCCTTGAGTAGTTTTCTGACTCACACTGGGTTCCATATAGTGACAACTGTGAACTGTGTCTTCTGAATGTATTACAGGTTTGCAGCCTTTTTGTAGCACTGAAGTCAGATCAGAAGAAAAGCGAGGTGAACCAGAGGCTGTGACAATGATGTCTTGACAGGGTCCTGAGCACCTTTATTCTCATCAGCCAGCTTACCTTCCCCGTTGCCCTCTCCCTTTCCTACTACAACCTTTTTCTTCTCAAAATTTAGTTCCCCTCTTCCATACCTAATCTCTCTCTTTCTGTCTCCGAGTCCTTTCATAATGATTTCATGTGCAGTCCCACTTAACTGTGTCTTCCCTCACCCCACCCTCCTTCACTTATTCCTGCAAATAACAGGTTTGCCCAACTTTTGATTCAATGACAGGTTTTTATTTTAGCCTTTTTGTTCTGAGCAACCAAGAATCATAAAAACGCACTGCACTTGTCTGTCTGTCTGTTGATCGGTGGTTCACAATCCTGACAACACTGGCCCCAAACTTTTGGATGTAGGAGATAATTTCATCTAAGCTTGTTGGAAAGGCAAAGATACAAGAAAAATAATAAACCTCTACAAGCTTTGTGAAAATAGTTGGTCATGTAGAGGAGGAAGAAGATTCATGCCCCATCAGGGGAGAAGGTGATGTGGAGTCATGTTGCTTAGACATAAGAGAGTCAGAGGAGAGCACAGTGTTGAGATACAGATCAGCAGGAAACCAGGTTTTGTCACCTCTGCTGCTCATACAGCTAGGCATTTAATTCCTCTCTCTCTCTTCAGAAACATTTAACTGTTCTTCTTTACTCCCATGTGTCACTGTGTTTGAACCATTTATTTATTTATTTATTGCACTGTCAGTTATGATTTATTTAGTTTTTTGTTGATGCTGCTTATTGCATTGAAGACTTCTGTGACCTCTATGATATGGAGTCTGTCACCTGAGTTTTCTTCACTGCCTATTTTTATGTCCATATGTCAGAAGCGAAATAACGGCTGTGGTCCTAAGTGGGAAAAGAACTACTAATGGATTAGGTTGTATCAAATGGATTGTGTAACGAGGCTGATGTTCCCAGAACTAACCACAGTAAACCTGAAATTTATTGGTGGTAGAACTGAAAGTCACAACCCAGAGAGGAATGTAATGGTTAGATAGACTCAGATTTGCTATGGAATAATAGTCCCATTCTTTTTTATTTTTCTCTTCTGTCAGCTAAGAAATAAACCTCTAACATCACATCTTTCTCAAGACATCATTCAAAGATAAAAAGAGGTGATTTTGTTCACATCACATCTATTTCCAATGAGAGCTATATCAAGAGATTAAGTAGATATCTTCTTTCTGAAAAACTCAGATTAAAATCTACTGGCTGCCAGTGTCCTTCCAGATGACAGAATGTGTTAAAGAGTACAACCTGGTTGATTCTTTTATAAGTAAGTGAAGGAGGCTGTGAATTTATGTGCTTTGTTTAATAAGGTCCCTAGCTTGTGGTTTTGGAAAATGGTGGCAGTAAAGCTGTACTGTTTCAGAGTTATGGGAGCATATCTCTCTGGTTCTCACTAGACAAACTTCCAGTCTGCATAATCTCAGATTTATTAGCATCAATAACATTTAATATCTAAAATTTTCATAAAGTTTTTTGGCTTTAAAGTGCTACAGTAATCACTTTCTCCTGTCTCAATGTATTCATGGTAAGTTTGCAACACATTGCTCGTAGAAATGATTCAGCAAGAGGAGCATGGTGACTCCTGTTGCAAAGCAATTTACTAATGAGCTGAGTTTATCTTTTATTCAGAATTTGACTTCTCTTAGGTAGTATTTATGTAGCTAAGCTTATAAGCAAACTCAGATCAAAATACAGATAGGAAACAGGCAGTATGTTAGTGGAAGAAAAGGTGAATAATATGGTCAAAGTTGATAAGAAAAAACAGATGAAATAGTCTTTTGAAATTTTATTTATTTTTCTGAAAACCCATTTTGGAGGAAAAGATGTTGAGAGACCATGTTGAGACATCCTATTGAACACTGTCTCCACCTGTTCTACTGAACAGAGCTATTCAAAAGTTGCTTGTCAGAGGAGAAGAGGCAAGTGGGAGTATTTTCAGGTTTCAAAAATTTTCCTTTTGGTTACAATGCAGAATTAAAATCTCAAAAGTCTTGGTGGTTTAGCTTAAATTTAAAACCAAAATACTTTGAATACACAAATTGTAACTTTTTTCCTCAAATGAAACCATAGAAGAATTTGAAAACTTGCATTTCCCTTTTTGAAGAATTCTGTCAGGGCTGTCTTTTCTACAGAAATTTTTAGCAAGTCAAGATTTGCCAGTAGGTAGGTGGGAGCCACTAGTTGCAAAATGTCTCACCTGCTCTACAGAGATGTCTGAGATGGCTTTGACTGCAATGAGGAAGAGCATTCTCTGAAATGGATGAGTTGTGCTCTCTGCTTCTTCTTATCATCTTGACCAGAAGTGGTAGTGCATGCTCAGAGCTTCAAGCAGCCACTGATGTCCGTTTTAAGAAAATACAACCAAATTGCCTGCATAATTTATCGAGATGTTATAAAAATTTCAATGCAAAATTTTTGAAGAACACTTTGACTTATGGCCTCTTCATTATGAGCAAAGTTTAATGTGATATTAAATACATGTTAAACTATTTGGTGAGAGGGTAATCAAAAGGTATGAATTACTCGGAACTCTGCATGGTTGGCATGTTTCCTCTTTAGATAACCCTTAACAGTTTCACTGTCAGCTCTGCTGTGATATATCCATTTATTTATTGGTTATTTCACTTCATTATGAGCTGTTCCCCTGCTACCCTAGTGCTGCCCAAAGTTGGAACAAAAAGGCAGACAGTCTTCTTTTGTTTTGTTGGAAATAAAAAATACCTGTAGAAGAGAACAGGACCGAGCAATATGTAATGGTCACTGTCAAAGTGGAACAACTGATTGTGTCATTTTGTCACTGTGTGCAGTCTGAAATCAGTCTAGCTCTGCAGTTAAAATAAATGCACCAATAAGATACCAATTTTTTGCCTTTAAAATTTTCTGGCTTTTAGTAGCCTGGAGGAAATTTTTCCTCTCAACTTTAGCAATCAAATGAAGCTGATACAAAAGTTTACCTACTGTTGTGCAGGCTTACTACACCTACTGGGTATTCAGAAGGCTTGCCTCTACTCAGTGATTGTGGGGGTAGCATAAAAATGTATTTAAATCTGTATAACTATTATGTTGATATGAGTATTAATTGATACCACCTATAAATATATTAATGCCTTTCTATTGATATAACTGTATCTGTCTGAGTCTGCTGCAGTAATTTAGTTAAATCAGTTCATTACTGATTTAGTGTAAAGTAAATGCTAGATACAGAAAAGGGCAGGTAATTTCTATCGGTACTTGGAAAACTGCTGACTTTTCCAATCAACAGCAGATGTCTATGAATAGAATAGGCATTCTTACAAAAACTGCAGTAAATGAAATGTCACTTTTATTGATAACGATGCTATTTGCTCTAGAGAACACTACTGTTACAGGATCTGGTTCTAGACTTGCTGGTCCTGTCTCCATTATTCTTAAATTTCTCTGAGCAAAGACATCAATTGAGTCCTATAAATTTAATATTTAAGGATCTTGGGGATCATTCCTTAAAAATTTTGCATGAGCTTTTATCAGCATTCTTTGTCAAAATGTACTTGCAGTACAAGACAGGGATGATTTTCTCACTGGGAACAAGGAATTCTTATATTCTTTTTTATTCTGCCCTTGATAAAACACAGTATTGTCTAGGGTTTGTGTAAACTACATTTTCACCTCCTGGGAGTGAAAAAAAAGGAAAAGTATGACACTAATCGAGTTTTCTTGTTTCCTTTCAAGTTTCATCATCGTGACTGTGCTTGGGCATCTGGATGTGATTGTTCTCACTCCTGCCAGGGGACCGTCTCCCACATGCCATTCCTCCCTTCGCCCCCGCCTGCTTCCTCTTCGCCTCCCTCCCAGAAGTCACTTTTCTTGAGAAAGCCATCAGCATGTCCTGCTGCTCTGAGGGCCATTTGCCAGCTGTCTTTGCTCTCAGAGGTGGGTGACATCTGCTTTCCTTCATGGGCTGGTCAGAAAGCAGCAGGCAGAACTGGCATCTTCCAGCCTTGTACCACCCAGAAGGGCAGGAGCAGAGATGTTCCCATGCTGTGTAGGTAACACGCATGCATGGCTGTGGTGGAGAAAGGACTGGTGGGAGGTGGTGGACAATGGAGCAGCTTGAGTAGAGCCGAGGGCCACCCACAACCACCCTGCTCAGCTCAGCTGGGGCGTTGAAAGGCTGTAAAATCTTACACTGGCGAAGAAGGGGAAAGGCATCCAGCTGGCATGGCTGTTCTCTCCCTAGAAGAAAAGACTGTAAATTGCAGTTGTGCTTTGAGAATGACTTGTTGTTACCCTGTTTATCTGCCTGTTTAGAGGCATTTTGTTTTTCTGCTGTTAATAAAAATATTCCTTGTTAAACCATTTGTTTCCTATTTGCCCTTGAGGACAGTTTGCTTACTGAGTCATTTACACTGCTCATTGCTTCAAGATGATTTTCCTTGTTGCCTGGGAGAGGACTTGAACTGTACTTTAGTGTAATCTACCCTTAGATGTGAACCCGCCTATTGCTCTTTTCACTTCAGGTCCTGGTAGAAGGGTACAAAATGTCTCATACCAACCACAGCTTGACCTCCAGTGGTTATCCAGTACCTGTTTAAGAGGAGATGGCTGCTATCTGCCAAACTCACTCTGCCAGATTCAAAGTGACGACTGAAAGGAGAAAGGCTCTTTGTCCTACCAAACTCAGGATACCAATCAGTTCTGGGGGAAGGTGTTTGAGAGGCAACCAGACCCAACACCTTGGAAGGTGAGCTTCTTCTTATGCTTAGTCCTGCTTTACCTGCAGAAGGGTTTTCAATGAATGAAACAGTTGCAAAGAGTATGTTAATGCCCTTGCATAGTATGGCAGAGATGTAAATATTTTTTAAATTAAATAAATA